ACTTAGGAATTTTACCCCCAGAGTTGGGCACTACTAACACATGGGTTCGTCATCTACGTATAAAAACACATACTCAGCTTTAAAATAAGTTAGTTAATATATTGCTGTTCATGCCTTATACTGATGTTTAACTGCATGTTTAATATAATTTTGGTTGAGTAGTAATGATATTACTAGTTTTTATTAATTATAAACTAAGAACTCATCTGCATTATATTTTCATCTGGGTTTTTAAAAGCACACTTTAACAAAATAAATTGTGGTTTAGAAATTAGGAAGACTAGACCGGGTGCATTGGCTCACACCTGTAATCCCAGCATTTTGGGAGGCCAAGGCAGCCGGATCACAAGGTCAGGAGATTGAGACCAGCCTGGCCAACATGGTGAAACCCTGTCTCTACTAAAAGTACAAAAATTAGCTAGATATGGTGGTGCATGTCTGTAATCCCAGCCTCAGGAGGCTGAGGCAGGAGGAGTGCTTGAACCTGGGAAGCAGAGGTTGCAGTGAGCCAAATTCACATGACTGCACTCCAGCCTGGACCAACAGAGTGAGACTCTGTCTCAAAAACAAACAAACAAAATCATGTTTGGCTGAAATAGTGGTTTTCAGACTTTTCACTGCTACATATGTTGTTTCTCTTTTTAAATTATGATAGATAAATGAGAAGACAGAAGACTACTATGAAAGTCTTGGTCGAGCTCTAGCTTTGTGGGACAAACTTTTTAACTTAAAAAATGTCATTGACGAGTGGACAGAAAAGACCCTTCAAAAAATGGAATTGCATCAATTGACTGAAGAGGACAGAGAAAGGCTGAAGGTAATTTAACAGATAAAATACATGCTTTTCTTGGTACACAATTGACATTTTTTTTTCTCTTTTATTTCTTATTATCTGCTAAGGCTCTGTCATCTGCACAGTTGACATTTTAGTATTGAGTTTGTTTTCTTTGAACAGGGTGGAAAAATCACGAAGAAATCTTTTTATTTCTTTCATAATCCCTGAGAGGTTCTTGAACTCTGTCATCTCCTTGCCGTTATCCAGGGAGATGCTAACAGGTACTATTCAACTAGGGTTCACAGACACCCAAAGGGCAAGAAGACTTTGGATGGGAAAAAACTGCATCTTTGTTATCATAACTAAAAGGTAGAACTTGTTTCAGTTATGAATATAGTCAACAAATAGGGTGATCATATGTTACTTTGTTATCAAGAAAATAACAGGTATTTTTGGCTCATTATTCAGTTGTTGTATCTGTTACCCTTACCACTACTTGAAAGTGTGGGATTTAGTAGGTTTATTGCTAGATCTTGTTATGTAATAGGGAAACATGTACTACTGTTATGTATCACAAATTGTTTTTAACATTTTGATAATTATCACTTCATTGTTTTTCTTTGTAATCCTACCTTATTTATTTTATGTTTTGTTTAAAAAATATTATTACGCAAAGGGCCTATAGGCTTCACCAGATTGCCAAAGTGGTTGGTAGTATGAAAAAATGTAGCTTGTTTCCAATAAATCTTTATTTATAAAAACAAGCTATCAGCCCTCTGGCTATAGTTTGTTAACCTCTGATCTAGACTATGATTATGGAAAGCCTTCTCCAGTATTTGAATTAAACAATGCCTTATAAGGATTAGAAAAAAATACATGGCTGAGTATCACCATCTTTATAGAGATTCAAGAAAAGCTGCTTTTTAAAACAACAATCTCAGGTTGTGGCATTTGGAAAGAATCAAAGTTACTTCTCTTTCAGCTGTAGGGAGAGTTCTTTCTAATTGCTTGTTTATTTACATGTTATTTGTTTGGATCATATAAATTTGTTGTTGGCTGGGCACGATGACTCATGCCAGCACTTTGGGAGGCTGAAACAGGTGGATCACTTGAGGTCAGAAGTTTGAGACCAGCCTGGCCAACATGGTGAAACCCCGTCTCTACTAAAAATACAAAAATATTAGCTGGGTGTGGTGGAGTGCGCCTGTAATCCCAGCTACTTAGGCTGAGGCAGGAGAATCGCTTGAACCTGGGAGGAAGAGGTTACAGTGAGCAGAGATCACACCACTGTACTCCAGCGTGGACGACTGAGGGAGACTTTGTCTCAAAAAAAAATTTTTTTTTTGCTGTCTTGCTAGGTCAGAAAACAGCCAACTGTTACCAGTTATATATGGTTCAATGTAACATAAAAATTCATGCTAATGCCTCAAATCTTACTTTGTCTCCAATTCTCACTATTTTATTCACTTGTTAATTCATGTGTTTAGTTTTACACATTTGGAAAAAGTTTTTTAAGTGTTTGGAGATTACAAGTTTCCTAGGTATATTATAAAAGGTATTAAATAAAACTATTATTTTCTAAGTATAAATGAATCATTTCTAAGAGTCCTTTAAATTTGTCTTGGATTATAGGTTGTTTAAAAATCTGAAATTAAGGATTGTAAACTGACAGCTGTGGGCCAAAATCTGCTAAAGTTGCGTGTGCGTGCGTGCGTGTGTGTGTGCACATGTACAGATGCGCATACACGGGATATGCAATTTACAAATACATTTATGAAATTTCTTTTTTTTTTTTTTTTTTTGTGAGATGGAGTTTTGCTCTTGTTGTCCGGCTGGAGTGCAGTGGCGCAATCTTGGCTCACTGCAACCTCCACCTCCTGGGTTCAAGCTGTTCTCCAGCTGAGCTTCCTGAGTAGCTGGGATTATAGGCATGTGCCACCATGCCTGGCTAATTTTGTGTTTTTAATAGGGACGGGGTTTCTCCATGTTGGTCAGGCTGGTCTCCAACTCCTGACCTCAGGTGATCCACCCACCTTGGTCTCCCAAAGTGCTGGAATTACAGGCGTGAGCCACTGAGTCCGGCCAACAAATATATTTATGAAATTTAATGCCTTAAGGCAGACCATGCAGTCACTTGTAGTGCAGGCCTAACCTTTCTCTTGTCTTATACCTAGAAAGACAGTTGGTTATAGCACTTGCCCGCCCCTGAAGGCACTTGGTTTTGTAACTTCTAGGACTCTGACAAAACACAAATGATTATGGGAAATTCAAGGGCTCTCAGTTTCTGTATATAAACAGTAGTAATTATGGGTACCAGAAAATAAGGTATGAAATAAAAAAACACTGTCCTTTAAAATTACACGTTTTAGGAAGAATTACAAGTCCATGAACAAAAAGCTTCAGAATTTTCTCGAAGAGTGGCTGAAGTACAGTTTTTACTCCAAAGCAGTGAAATACCTCTTGAATTGCAGGTAAGAATTTTTATTTAAAAGTTTCAGTTATTGAGGCCTCAGTGAGGTATAATCATATCAGCGTGCTCTAGCCTGGGTGACAGAGCAAGACCCTGTCTCTAAAAGAAAAAAAAAAAAGGCCCAATTAAGGATTATAGCAGGGGTGTCCAGTCTTTTGGCTTCCCTGGGCTGTATTAGAAGAAGAAGAATTGTCTTGGAGCACTAACACTAATGATAGCTGGTAAGCTTAAAAAGAAAGTCACAAAAAAATGTCATAATGTTTTAAGGAAATTTATGAATTTGTGTTGGGCCACGGATTGGACAAGCTTGCCCTATAGCCTCTAAAATAACATTGATAAACCATTCTAAACGTTAAAGCCTAAAATAAAATTAGGATCATTTATTCAATTCCTATGTTAAGTCCAACCAAATTTTTAATAGTTGGTATAAATACATTTATTCCTTATTTAGCATGAATAATACTTATATTTTTATATTCCTTTATTCTCCCCTCACCCATTTCACAGGCTTCAGCTATGGAGGGCAGATGTTGCCTGAGCTTCCGTGTAAAGTAATGATGCTTTCCTATGTGTGTCTTTGGCATAGGAGCGAAAGAGAATTTCGCTGAAGTCATCCTACGTTTATTATTTGCTAGATGGAGAGAGAGAGAGGTTGCCCCCAGTGCGATTTTCGGTTGTGTGAAGAGATTTGTTTTTGTTTTCCTTAGGTCAAGGTACATAGTGGTTGAATATGAGCGCTGGAGTTAAGACCCTCTGGATGAGGTTCTGGCCGTACTACTACCAGCTTTATGAGTTTGGACAAGTTACTTAATATTCTTAAGCCTGTGTTTTCTACACAAAGTGCTTACCACAGTGCTGTATACATCATAAATACTCAATAAAAAGCTGGCTAATTTTTTTCTGTATGTTTGAATCTCATCTATATATTTTTCTTTATGTTTTATTTCTTGAACACCATGAGATAGCATCTTAGTGGTACGCTAGATTGAACTTGTGTTGAGGGATCAAGTTTGTCTCTTAGCAAAAAGTCAGAATATCCATTTCAGTTTTTTTTTTTTTTTTATGTTACGCTTTATCTTTAAAGGCAAAATTTGAATTTTATCAGTGGTATAGAAAAATGTAGAACAGTGAAAAGAATGCATTTCACATTGAAATGAAGTAGTCTCAACCCATTCTCTAGCAATGAAGTTGTCTTAAATGTAGTTAAATAACAACCATTACACTACTTCATGTGTTTCCTGATTTCAGGTCATGGAGTCCTCTATTTTGAGCAAGATGGAACATGTGCAAAAGTGTTTAACAGGAGAATCCAACAACTATGCACTCAGTGGCAGCACTGCTGAGCTAAGGGAGGATCTCGACCAAGCCAAGACTCAGATTGGGATGACTGAGTCCCTCTTAAAAGCCCTGTCTCCTTCTGACAGCTTGGAGATCTTCACTAAACTAGAGGTCCTGCCCAACTGCTTGTGTTCTGTGGTTCAGATTTATTTTCACACTGTTTGCAGCTGTCTTAAGCTCTTAGAGTTAATCAAAATAGAAAAGAAATGAAAGTCCAAGAAGAAAACTCAGAAAACCTGTTTTTGTATATTTAGCGTTTTTACCTTTGCCTTTCTGATGATAATTATTTGATATTAACTTGGCATTGTATCACACATTTACTAGCAAAGAGAAAGTGAATCCACTCAACAAAGAGAGTCATTGAGATTTTTACAAAACAATTGAGATCTAATATGCTTTGTGTAAATTGAGCCTGTTTTTAAGACTTAATGGTTGTTGTTTGTTTACATATTTAGGAGATACAACAGCAAATTCTGCAGCAGAAACACAGTATGATATTACTTGAGAATCAAATAGGTTGTCTGACTCCTGAACTCTCTGAATTGAAAAAGCAATATGAAAGTGTCAGTGATTTATTTAATACCAAAAAAAGTGTTCTGCAAGATCACTTTTCTAAGTTATTGAACAGTGAGTACAATGTTTCTCTTATTTTCTTTCTGGAACTCTTGAAGTTAGAATGTAGTACTGTGAACACAAAGGCTAATCTAAAGCCTGACTTAAGAGATGGTTTGCACAGACTACATTTGAAGAAATAATAATCAGACAAATCTTTTGGGAGAAAACACTGATTTATGCTTGATATAAATAACATCTAGTTCTTGCAAGCTCCAAATCTTTCTTTTTCTCTTGAAGTTAAGTCACCAAGGTCCTAGTGTTTGACCTGCTCACTGTGGTTGGTGAGTCTGGGGAAACATTGTGTACAGGCTGCCCAGGCAGTGTCTCTGTGAATCCTGTATGCTTGAAAAAGACGTTTACTATAGAAAATACACTATAATTACCCTCTAGGATTTATTAGCCCTGAACATTGGGTTTTAGAGTTTATTACCATTTTCACAATGATACGTATCTATGGCATGGGAAACAAGTTTCAAAAGCTCTCACTTTAACAAAATGCATGAAGTCTTCCTTGAATGAATAGAGCTTCTTTCCCCCCTGCAGATCAATGCAAGAATTTTAATGACTGGTTCAGCAACATTAAAATGAACCTTAAGGAGTGTTTTGAATCATCAGAAACAAAAAGGAGTGTGGAACAAAAGCTACAAAAACTTTCTGTAAGAGATATGTGCATTTTTAATAAAAATTTTCAATACTAAAGTACTAGAGGCATGGAACTATATCTAAATAAATAGGGAGGCTGGGCATGGTAGTTCATGCCTATAATCCTGGCACGTTGGGAGGCTGAGGTGGGTGGATCGCTTGAGCTCAAGAATTCAAGACCAACATGCATCTCGAACCTTGGTGAAAGGTTCACCAAGCTCATAGTGAAACCTTGTTTCTATAAAAAAAAATACAAAAATTAGCTGGGTGTGGTGGCAGGTACCTATAGTTCCAGGTGGGAGGATCACTTGAGCCTCAGAGGAGGAGGGTGCAGTGAGCTGAGATCACGCCACTGCATTCCAGCACTCCAGCCTGGGTGACAGAGTAAGACCTTGTCTCAAATAAAAAAGAAATAAGAGTAATAATTGTTTTGACTTCCTAATATTTTCACATAAGAGATAATATTCCTGAATAACTTGGCCTTTTCCCAAATATTTAAGACTCTATTTATTTGGTATGTGTACAAATGGCTTACAGAATCTCTACTCTTACATTTATTCTAAGATGCTGCTTACTTTAGTGTCCACTGGTGAATTCAGTTGTAGACATACATTTGATAAAAAATAAAGATCTAATTTGTATTTTAAAATCCCCTTTCTTGAAAGAGGTCTCTTGACTTGTTTATACATCTTTTCCCACTTATATTTCTTTTAAAAATTGCCGCTGAACTTCAGTACATTTCTGGTTGGAACGTAGTGGAGGATATCCTGAAATGGAAGGCAGAGTGCATGGGGGTGTATGAAAGGCCTATGGTGCCCTAAAATCTTGATCACTTTAGGGTAGACTGTCTATATTACTTTAATGTCTTGATGATAAGTTAGATTCTTAAGCTTATCAATGGCACTAAATGTTCACTGTTGAATTCCTTGCTTTGAGGTACCATTCTTTACTGATAGAAGCACCTCTCTTCTCTTTTAATAATTTGAAGTCCCATCTTTTTTTGTTTGCTCGTTTGCCTTTAATTTTGCTTATTGCATGGGCCTTAACAATTGATGCCCAAACCTTGAAACATGGATATTGAAGTAAAATTCTGATTTGGGCACCATTAAATAGAGAATAGTCTGTGGAGAACTTGAACACAGCCAGGATAGGGAAATGTCGCTTCCCTGGTGTTGATCCTGCTAACCTTCCTAGTGGCTCTTATAACTTTGCTTGATATAATTCCCAGGAAGTCAGAAGCAAATGTAAATGTACACATGCCTTCTAGAACTCCTATAAATTTTATGCCATTAGAGATAGCCACATCTCCCTCACCCTTCTTTCATATGGGATCTTAACAAGGTGGTATGTCTATATGCTGGTTTGGAAAAGGGTCATGAGGGTGGCAGAGACCATATTCAGACTTGCCAGGAGATCGTAATGGACTTTTTGTCTTTCTGAAGGATTTCTTGACTCTTGAAGGAAGAAATAGTAAAATACAGCAGATGGACAGTGTTCTGAAGCATGTGAAGAAGCATCTGCCCAAAGCACATGTGAAGGAGCTTAGCAATTGGCTTGCGGGTCAGGAATTTGAATTAGGAAAAATGGAGTCTATATGCCAGGCTCGAGCAAAGGAGCTTAAAGACTACTTGGAACACCTACTAAGGTAGGAAATAAGGGTGATCTCTAAGTAACATGTTTTCTAACTGTATCTTTATTTGTACTCTGCCTCATTACAGAGAACACTGGGATATGCAGTACACACAAATTTCACACACAAAACACATACTTTTAAATCCAGGTTTGGTCCTAGGAATATAAAAATTTGGGAAAAATCTTCAAGTTATCTAATGTAGCAAAGGTTCATGGGATAGGCTGAAAAAAGCTTTCTGTTTCCTGTTCTCTATGAGACATTTGTGTGGTTTTATTTAATACTATAGAACCCCACTATCATCCAGTCTGTTATTTAGATTTTTGTTACAGGTTAAATTCTCTCTAAACTGTAGCAAACATATATTGTAAAAACCTGGTTGACTCACAAGATTTGTGTCATTCTTTTCTTCAGTATAAACACTCTTTGCTTATTTTGTCTTTAAACATGTATAATGCTCTTTTAGACTCCAGGATGACCACAGAAATCTGAGTAAGTGGTTGACTAATCAAGAAGAGAAATGGAAAGGAATGGAAGAATCAGGAGAGAAAACTGAGCTGTTCTGCCATGCTTTAGCTAGAAAGAGGTATAGCTGATTTTGTATGAAATACATTAACTGGGAATATGGTTTCTTCCATGGTGTGGTTACTCCTATAAACTTTAAATGATATTTGGAATTTATAGGGAACAGTTTGAATCTGTGGCCCAGTTGAACAACTCTTTGAAGGAATATGGGTTTACTGAAGAAGAAGAAATAATAATGGAATCAACATGTTTGATGGATAGATACCAAACATTATTGAGACAACTAAGTGAAATTGAGGAAGAGGATAAGTTACCACCCACGGAAGACCAGAGCTTTAATGATCTTGCACATGATGTAATTCATTGGATAAAAGAGATTAAAGAGTCCCTTATGGTTTTGAATTCATCCGAAGGCAAAATGCCACTTGAGGAAAGAATCCAAAAAATCAAGGTATAACTATGGAAACTGAATTTCAGAAGTCAGAGTGAACTCTAGTTTTGAAAAGATTTAGAGGAAATCTGTAAAGATTTGCCTCTTAAGGGCCGGGCGCGGTGGCTCAAGCCTGTAATCCCAGCGCTTTGGGAGGCCGAGGCGGGTGGATCACGAGGTCAAGAGATCGAGACCAACCTGGTCAACATGGTGAAACCCCGTCTCTACTAAAAATACAAAAAATCAGCTGGGCATGGTGGCGCGTGCCTGTAATCCCAGCTACTCAGGAGGCTGAGACAGGAGAATTGCCTGAACCCAGGAGATGGAGGTTGCGGTGAGCCGAGATCGCGCCATTGCACTCCAGCCTGGGCAACAAGAGCGAAACTCCGTCTCAAAAAAAAAAAAAAAAAAGATTTGCCTCTTAATGGAAAATAGGATCACTGTGGAATGGTTGAAGAAATTCAGATAACTGAGCTTATAAAAGAGAAGGATTGTGATGGATCTAAAATTATTTTGATGCGTATGAAAGAGAGAAAGCATGTCCTATCTTGGAGAGAGCAATGCCTATTGTCCATTTTTACTGAGTGCTGCAGAAGAATCTAAATAAAGACATTGAATCAGAGCTGCTAGTGGGAGGGAGTTTGGTGGGATGTCAAAAGAACGTATGTCGGTACAGCAGAAGCATCAGCAATGTTGAGGCAGGGGAATTCTTCAGAGTGGATGTGCATGGTTCATAAAAGGTTACTAGATAGTAGGTGGGAAAAGCAAGGAAGTCTCAAGCTTCCTTGGGTTCCCTTTTTATCTAAGGGGAGATTCAATAAACATTTTTTAAAATTAAAATTTAATTATAGTAAATTTAAAAATTCAATCACTAGATAAAAATACAAGGGATAGGAGCACATGTGCCTAAAAGGAACTCAAGGAGAATTGAAATCACATTCACTCAAAAATTGTGAGCTCTGAAGGTTGGTGAGACTTAGTAAATAATCAGAATCATTTGGGATTATATCCAGACATTTTCCCATAAAAAGTGAGAATGAGAACTAATTATGTCATGGTAGAGAAACAAGAGTTGGCCTGAGAGACACTGCATTTTCCTATGGGAAGTCTTAAGTCTGTGCTTAGGTTATAACAGTGTCTTGTCAGATTGTTATCGTAACTCTCCATCCATAAATAATAGAGTGGATAGGAAGAGGTTTTGCCAGGATTTTGGGGGGGCATAAAGAAAGTATTGAAAATCTAGAGAAGAACAGGAATGCAGTCAGCTCAAACTGACAAATATTTATGGAGAACTAACTCTATATAATGTAAAGGGAGATATCTTTGTCTTTTAGGTACATAAAAAAATGAAAAGATTATGTTGAAATATATACTGCAGTTAGAATCTCTATATAAAACTTACAAATATATAGTATCTCTAAATAATACAGATGACATTATAAAATCTTTTTTATTTAATTCAGGAAATAATTTTGCTGAAGCCTGAAGGGGATGCCAGAATAGAGACCATCATGAAGCAGGCAGAGAGCAGTGAGGCCCCGCTGGTTCAGAAGACCCTCGCTGATATCAGCAAGCAGTGGGACAACACTCTCCATTTAGCTAGCACCTACCTAAGGTAAAGGGCATGCCTGCACCACTCGCATCATTTTCCATTGCCCATGAAGCCATAACAAGTGTGTTTTGTCTGCCTCCTGGGTTTGGATATAGCATCTGCTGGAGAGAAAGTCAGTCATGTCAGGGACATCCACAGTGTCAGAGACAGAAACCCAAACTAGACAGCCTCATTATCTGCATGGCATCACTGTAGAATAATTCTTTTAAATATTATTTTCAGAAATTCTTAAGTATGTGAACATTGATAAATGTTGGCTGAATCCAGTGGATGTAATTCTAGTGAAAATTCTTAATTCATATCATGTCCACAATGGTACATTTAATATTTAGAAATGTGAATTTTATGTTTGTCTGAAGAGCCTATCAGATCCTAATTTTAAGCTACAGAAGGCATAAACTAGTTAGTTGGTTAATATACTTTTTGCTTTATGAAGAAGTAAAATATGGGAAAATATAATTTCTTAAATACGATAGAAACTGTTGGGACTTGTTTGAAATCTAAATTATGAAATATTCTCTGGTCAAATTATGTAACAGAAAATAATTATTTTTATTAATAGTCAAATAATTTCTGTCTTGGTTTCTGAGCTAAACAGTGTTATTTAGAATGTTCTAATATCAAGAGTCTCTGGGAACAATTTACAATAGTGTTACTTTAATTTTTATTAGGATGTATGCTACATTATAATATGCAAAATGCTAGTTCATTTTGCTAAATGTCATTTCATTTGTAAAATATTTTGTGAAATTTAGCCATCAAGAAAAGCTTCTACTAGAAGGAGAGAAATATTTACAAAGTAAGGAGGATCTGAGATTGATGCTCACAGAACTAAAGAAGAAACAGGAAGCAGGCTTTGCTCTACAACATGGGCTGAAGGAGAAGAAAGCTCAGTTAAAGATTTATAAGAAATTCCTCAAGAAAGCGCAAGATTTGACATCCTTGCTAAAGGAGTTAAAATCTCAAGGTAATTACCTCTTGGAGTGCACTAAAAATCCCAGCTTCAGCGAAGAGCCTTGGCTGGAAATAAAGCATCTACACGAAAGTCTTCTTCAACAACTGCAGGTGAGGTGGTCAAAATAATGCTTTAAATGATTGTCCTAATTATACATAAGTATGCAAGGTATATGTGGAACTTGCTGTTGTTGTTCTTTTTATTTTATTTTATTTTTTTGAGACAGCGTCTCACTCTGTGCCCAGGCTGGAGTCCAGTGGCATGATCTCAGCTCACTACAGTGTCAACCTTTGTGGGCTCAGGTGATCCACCCACCTCAGCCTCCCAAGTAGTTGGGACTACAGGCACATGCCAGTATACCTGGCTCATTTTTTATTTATTTTTTAGATGGGGTTTTGCAATGTTACCTGGGCTGGTCCTGAACTCCGGGGCTCAAGCGATCCTCCCGCCTTGGCCTCCCAAAGTGCTGGGACTACAGGCGTGAGCCACCACACCTGGTCTGTTGTTGTTCTTTTGCAAACTAAGGGCCTTTTAATTTAATTGATCTTATTTATTTATGTATTTTTTTTTGTTTTTTGTTTTTTTTTAATTTTTAGAGACAGTGTCTTCCTCTGTCACTTAGGCTAGAGTGCAGTGGTGCAATCAAAGTTCACTGCAGCCTTAAACTCCTAGGCTCAAGTGATCCTCCCACCTCAGCCTACATAGTAGCAGGGAGTGGAGGCATATGCCACCGTACCCCGTGAATTGTTTTATTTTTGTAGAAACGGGGTCTTACTTTGTTGTCCAAGCTGGTCTAGACTACTTCTGGCCTCATATGATCCACCTGCTTCAGCCTCTGGAGTAGCTCGGATTATAGGTGCGAGCCACCACACCCAACTCCTAATTTATCATTTTTAGATGAAAATCCTAACTCGCAAGGATAGAGGAATAAAGGCAGCTCATTGTGCTAGTGTATTATTTGGTGATGATATTACATTCTCATCAAACCTCCCCTCTTTTCAGGCATCTCTGTGAAGGTCACAGTGTCAATATTATCCATCCATCGTCGTCTGTTGTTAGTAGTTTGCATCCGTTATCTTATATCCACCTTCTTATCAGTGCCCCTCCCTCACATCTTTCTGCACAATCTTTAGTAAAATAATTACGAGGTAGGCCAGGCACGGTGGCTCATGCCTGTAATCCCAGAACTTTGGGAGGCCGAAGTGGGCAGATCACGAGGTCAGGAGATGGAGACTATCCTGGACAACATGGCAAAATCCAGTCTCTACTAAAAATACAAAAATTAGCTTGGTGTGGTGGTGAGCACCTGTAGTCCCATCTACTCAGGAGGCTGAGGCAGGAGAATTGCTTGAACCCAGGAAGTGAAGGTTGTAGTAAGCTGAGATCACACCATTGCACTCCAGCCTAGTGACACAGTGAGACTCCATCTCAATAAAATAATTATGAGGTAAAATGTCAGCTTGTCATAAGAGAGTATATTCTTTTAATAGAACTGTTTATAATTCTTTGCACACTGAAAGCCAGATTCCATGTAAAGATTACCTGGGTAAGAAATCCTGCTTGTAGAAAAGTTGGGCAGGGGTTAAGATAGACCTGTTTTCTGTAAAATGTTTAGTTTAGTGGTTGCTGCTTCTTGATCAGGTATGGGCATTGTGTTTTCCTGTCCCAGGGAGAGAAACTAAAGGTGGTTTTACTTTTGAGTTAGGATTATATTTTCCTAACACACAGTTGGAGTTATGAATCTGAGGTTAGTTTGATCTCATGTGGTCTCATTTCCCAGAGTGGAAATTGGTAGTTGGTTTTAGTGCAAAGGATAATTAAGGAAGTTGCTTTATTGTGAATGTTTGGGATTTAATGATATAATTTGTAGCTATTTCATTTTATAAACATCTTGACAAATTGTCTTCATGAAGGGGAAATGCAAGCAAAGAAGCATGGAAAAAACAAATTGTTTTCAGTAAAAGTAATTTTTGTGGAGGGACAGAGACTTTGCAGTGAAATATCTCAAACTCTAAAATCTTTCCTTAAGAACTCTGGATAATTTATAGCCGTATTTCTGTTTCAAGATGAAACTTGTCAACAGGTATTTGTTAGTCATTTAATTATTTTCAGAGTGAAAAATATCAGAAATAATTTGTAAATTTTCTGTGGCTTTATTTTTAGGATTCTGTGCAAAACTTGGAAGGTCATGTACGAGAACACGATTCATACCAGGTTTGCGTCACAGACCTGAATACCACACTGGACAATTTCTCCAAGGAATTTAACAGTTTTTCTGATAAGCCTGTGGATCAAATAGCAGTTGAGGAAAAATTGCAGAAACTGCAGGTACTAAACAGTGTTCAGACATGATACACATTTTAAAAAATCAATGTTATTACAACGTGATTAATCAGTGTCCTCTATCAGAAATTCCACTGCTATTCAGATGACTCTTAGGTAATTAATGCTGTGACCAGTCATAATAAATGAGTATGTCCTTCTTTAGTGTACAAATTAATTTATAATTTAAATTAACCATTACATGGTACGCCCTCAGAGACAGTTTTGCCCTCTAGACTGTAGGACCTTGAAAGGCCTGTTTGTTACTCCTTTAGTAACTTCAAAACCTATCCTAATACTTGGCTGTTAATTGGATGAATGAATGGATGAGTGAATGCTTCTTGTGTAACCCATTAGGATAATGACTGATAAATCATACATAGTTCACCTAGATTTATTCTGTTTCAAAGTAGCTGCTGCAGTACATCAAATTCCTTTTGAGTCTAGGGTTTTAAAATCAGTCATCTTGTTTTTTTATGTATTTACTAAATATTGATTGAGCTTCTGCTATATTTAAGATAGTACACTAGATAGATTAATTTCTCATCAACGCCAAGTTTTGCTCTGAATTGTAAATATTAGCATTAGATTCAGGTAGGTACATTCCAAATGATTCTTCTATTCTTTTTAATACTTTGCACATAGTAGGCACCTATTATTTAGTGTTTTGATTATATGACAAAGATGTATCTTGAACAAAACATACACATTCAACGAATATCTATTGATTGCCTCCTGTGTTCTAAGAACTGTGCTGCTATAATTTTCTAAATTGCTTGTTGCAAACTTTCTAGTATCTTAAAATACCTATTTTAGAATTTGATCCAAGATGCAACATTGGTTTAAATTTTGCCCAAGTTTCTTCTATGTGATGTGAGTTAAGTTCACATTTTCCACTGGTGAAGCAAGAGTACTCTGATTTACAGAAGTCAACTAACTTTTGTGGCAATTGAATGGAGATATAACAATCTTTTCTCCACTCACAGGAACTAGAGAATAGACTCAGTTTACAAGATGGCACATTAAAGAAGATTGTAGCTTTAGCAAAATCCATCAAGCAAAATACATCTTCAGTGGGGCAGAAGATTATTAAGGACGATATAAAATCACTTAAGTATAAACAAAAAGACTTGGAAAACAGACTTGAATCTGCTAAGCAGGAGATGGAATATTGTCTCAACAGCATTCTTAAATCAAAATGCTCATCAGAAAAGAAAGAAAAGTTTACTCTGCCAGGCAGAGAGAAGCAGGCCACTTCTGATGCGCAGGAGTCTACTCAGGAATCAGCTGCAATGGAAAAGTTGGAGGAAGACTGGGAAATAAACAAGGTAAGTGCTTGTGATTGCACTTTCAAGACAGTGAGTCTGAGAATGAAGAGGTATTTGGCTCTGAAAAGAGGGTCGTGAATCAAGCATTCTGATTTCATAATTAAATCCTCAATGTCCTGGCTATTTATGAAGCCTGCTTGTAAAAAGAGCTCTTAGAAAATTGTTCAGGATTTCAGTGGTAAAATATTACTGTTCTGTTTGTTAAAATGTCAGTCATCAATTTAGTTTTATTATCTCTCTGATAGGTAATCAGATACTGTTTCTTGGGTCAAGAGCACAAAGGCAAATTAGAAAAGGTGAAAGAAAAGAAAATGTGCTTTACCTATTTTCTCAGGAAAAAAATCCAAAGATCCCAATTTTTGGGGGGTTGATTTCATAATGAAATCAGAGACTGTTGGAAAGGATAGATCTTTTTCTTCTTATGTTAACCCTCTGTTGTTAGATCATTTAGTGTGAGGATAGCAACCTTTAGGCTCCTAGTTTTACCTGGGGAGAAGAAAGAAGAATGTTTTCTTGTTTTCACTATAAACAATCACATGGGTACATTTCTTGTGGCTCCTAAAGTGCTTTTTCATGGGTAACAGATTGAAATGTGAATCACACAAAGAGAGATTCAGTAAACTGTATTTGAGAGGATCTCCCTGGTAGGCAGCTTCTCACAGTCAGGGTCCAGTGAGACAATAGCGAAGGTAGAACATTCAGGTATGAGTTCCCATCTGCTCTTTAGGGAATAAATAATCAACAGGAATGAAGAGAATAAACATCCACTTTAATTGCCTCCCTGAAACAGAAATGTATGGAAAATTAAAGGAACCATGCAGGATTTTCTAAAAATACGTAAAACGATGTTAAATGCTGATGGAGCATCTCTCTATGAGGAAAGTGTTTCAAACAAATTCCACGGTGTTAGATATTGCAAAGGAAACGTGTCAGGCTGGGCATGGTGGCTCACATCTGTAATCCTAGCACTTTGAGAGGCCTTGGAGGATCCCTTAAGACCATGCTGGGCAATAAAGCAAGACCCATGTCTCTACCAAAAAGTAATAGTAATAACTGGGCATGATAGTGCACGTCTGCTATCCCAGCTTCTTGGGAGGCTGAGATGGGGGAACCCTTGAGTCCAGGAATTTGAGGTTATACTGAGCTGTGATTGCACCATTGTACTCTACCCTCTGCAACAGAGTGAGACCCTGTGTCTAACTTTTTTTTTCTTTTTTTTGAGACGGAGTTTCGCACTTATTGCCCAGACTGGAGTACAATGGCATGATCTCAGCTCACTGCAACCTCCACCTCCCCATAACCTCTGCTTGCCGCGTTCAAGTGATTCTCCTGCTGCAGCCTCCTGAGTAGCTGGGATTACAGGCGTGCAACCACCATGCCTGGCTAATTTTGTATTTTTGGTAGAGACAGGGTTTCTCTAATTCTTTAAAAAAGCACATATGTCTTGGAGGATTAAGGGATCACTGTGTGAGGCTCTTGATGTTTTATGTGTGAAGAAACTTTTAAAACGGTATTTAAATAGCAATAGATAGGCAAGACTTAGTGGCTCACACCAGTAATCCCAGCACTTTGCGGGTCTGAAGCAGGAATATCAGTTGAGTTTGAGATAAGTCTGGGCAGCGTAGGGAGATTCCATCTCTCCAAAAAGTTAAAAATTAGCTGGGCATGGTGGCTTGCACCTGTGGTCTCAGCTATTTAAGAGGCTGCTGAGGTGGGAGGATCGTATGAGCCCCAAAGGTTGAGGTTGCAGTGAGCCATGATTGCATCACTGCACTTCAGCCTGGGCAACAGAGCAACACCCTGTCTCTAATGAAATAAAGTGATAAAGTCAAAAAGGAAAAATACCTGAGTGTTTTTTATGAGATAGGTTGTACAAGAGGGCACTGTCCTAACAGATGATCTTGCTAAAGGGAGTTACTTGCCTAACAACTTTTAAACTAACTTCCCAGATGCATTTTGACTGTGAACTCCCAAAATTCAATAGAGTATGTTGAGAACTATATAAAGATCGTAATCTAAAAATAAGAATTGTTTTTGCCCAGGCTCACAGCCGTAATGTCAGCACTTGGGGAGGCCGAGATGGGTAGATTGCTTTAGCCCAGGAGTTCGAGACCAGCCTGGCCAACATGGTGAAACTCAATCTCTACAAAAAAAATACAGAAATTAGCCGAAGGTGGTGACACGTGCCTGTAGTCCCAGCTACTTGGGAGGTTGAGGTAGAATTACTGAGCCCAGGAGGTTGAGACTGTAGTGAGCTGAGATTGTGCCACTGCACTTCAGCCTGGGTGACAAAGCAAGACCCTGTCTGAAAATAAAATAAAAATTTAAAAATGTTTAGAAATTTATTTATTTATTTATTTTTGAGACAGAGTTTCACTCTGTCGCTCAGGCTGGAGTGCAGTGGCATGACCTCGACTCACTGCAACCTCGGCCTCCCAGGTTCAAGCAATCCTCCTGCCTCAGCCTCCCAAGTAGCTGGGACTACAGGCCCATGCCACCACCTCTGGCTAATTTTTGGTATTTTTAGTAGAGACGGTTTCACCATGTTAGCCAGGATGGTCTTGATCTCCTTACCTCATGATCCGCCCGCCCCAGCCTCCCGAAGTGCTGGGATTACAGGTGTGAGCCACTGTACCCGGTCTAAAAATTTATTAAGCTTTAACTTTGAATTATAAGAGTTACTGAATTATAACCTCGAATTATAAGAGTTCATGATACAAATGTATTTGACTTTTACTTAACCTTGAATGATAAGAATTATTGATAGTTGGTGATACTTCATTTAAATGATTTTTTTTTTCAGGGCAATTGAAGGAATTGAAGTCCTCAAATAATTTTCACAAGTCTGGATACAGATAACTAGTTTTTATCCTCTAGCAACATTTTGTTTCTTTCTCTTTTGTAACATGGCTATTTTTCTGTATCTGTGTGGCTTATTTTCTCTGAGTACTGGCTGTGTTTACTTTTATGTAATATTAGCGTATATAATATTATATAACAGTCCATGAAGGTCAGGAGCAGTTTTAAGGTTGAACAACTAGCAAAAGAGATCAGATTTATGCTTAGACAAATAAAGTACATGTATAATGTGACAAATGACATAACTGTGTAAATGACTTAAGCTTGATTCTCAATATAATGAATACATAGAACACATAAAGGCATAGTTTACTGAATTATACATTTGATTAATGTAAATTCATTGTGATAGTGAAAATAAGCACTTCAGTCGTTAAAAGCACTTCTTAAGACCTATTTTGTGCTAGTCATTCTGCTAGAATATGAGGATATAATTAACACAGCTTAAAATCTAGCACAAATAGCTAATTAATACTCACTTCACGTGCCTTTTTTGGAATCCAGAGAGGCTTTTTATCAGATTATTTTAATAGTCTCCAGAAGACTTTTTAACAAGTTTTTATTTCTTGTACTTTTTCTTAAATGTCATTAATCTTAGAGTTTTGTTGAAAGTGTGATTGCAGTTTTCAAAACTTGCCGTCATAGCAAGTATATATTTGAATCCATTGCCAAGAATTTCATTTCAGATGAATTTCAGGTGATTCTGTAGATCTGGACCTTTGGTTGATCTTTTCTTTGTTATTGGAAATGTTCAGGCAGACCTAGAAGCAAAAGAAGTTGCAAAATTCAGTGTGACGGGTGTCTGTGCTTATGATTCAGTACCATTCCGCATATTGTTATAGATGCAAATTTCTTACATGTGAATAGGCAAAACGACCTTCCATTTCCTTCTTTCTATCTAGGTTAAGTGAGGCAACAGATTAGGATATGGTAAAAAGTGAAGACTATCTAATGTCTTAAGATTTTATGTGCCCAAAAAGGGAAATGATAAAGAGGAAAAACAGGGAAACTCATACATTTCTAATTTATTATTTTTTTTCTAAAAAAGCATAATGCAGCATTACATCTTAACTGATATCAAATGATCTTTCTTGCCCCATCCTTCCAGAATAGCAGCCTACGTGACATAATTGCTATTTAAAACTCAAATCCTTTTATCTGTAATTACTTCTTTAATTTCCTTATCATTGGCATAATTGTTGGCATTTATGAATTGTTTTTTGTTCTATTCAGAAGTTTCTGAGCATTTCTAATTTGATGTTTAGGAAGGCATTTGTAGATAAATCTTGGAAGGTAGATGATCACGCATACAGGCAAAATGTGCAAGGCTCTAGCTGTGGGTGAGTGAGCCGGAACAAAGCCTGGAGTCAGAACTTGAATGAGAAGGAACCTACTTACTGGAGAGTTTTCAATCCTGGGATGAATTATGTTTATTTCTGGCGTTGTTTATCCTGTTAACTCAATAGAAAAAAAAAAAAGTTGTAACAGAGCACATAGTTGGGCTGTGTGTCAACTATAGTGTCCTACTTTGCCCTTTCTGGCCAATATGCAAATTTTGCATCTTACTTCAGAAGTATTTTCACAATCCAAAATTTATTCCTTAATGGGATAACCAACTTACATAGTGCATGTATTTTGCCATCTATAGACAATGTGCTTTTGAGAACATGCTCCAAAGTTGTAAAATCTCAGGCTGACAGAGACCTTAGAAATTGTCTAACCTATCCCTTGTATTTCAGGTGAGGGAATTGAAGTCCAGCAGAGCTGGGACTAGAACCTAATCATCTTTTATTTATTTATTTATTTTTTGAATTTTAGAGACAGGGTCAGCTCTGTCACCCAGGCTGGAGCGTAGGGATAGTATAGTCATAGCTTACTGCAGCCTTGAGTTCCTAGCCTTATGCCATCCTCCTGCCTTAGCCTCCTGAGTAGCTAGGACTACAGGTGTGTACCACAATGCCCAGCTATTGTTTGTATTTTTGGTAGAGATGGGGTTTCGCCATGTTTCCCAGGCTGGTCTCAAACTCCTGGGCTAAGGCAATCCTCCCTCCCATCTTGGCCTCCCAAAGTGCTGGAATTACAGGTGTGAACCACCACACCTGGCCACTATGTTTCTATCATTCTTTACAGATGTCTGGTCA